TAATGGTGCTTTTCCTGAACTCTCCTTCGGAACAACAGGCTGGCAGGATTACTTCCCCAGCATGACTACAAACAGTAAAAGAACAAATACAATCTGCAGCATATTTACCTATGCATTTTATTCAGGAACAAGATCTTAAAGCTTGTAATTATACTTGTAAGAGACTGCAGCTAACATTCAAATTATTGCTTTCGGGTTTTGTTGAAAGGATGTAACGCTCCTACATCAACATTGCGATTGAGTGTCTAAAATAAGTTGAATATACTGCTCACTACCAGTGACATGTCCACTCCTCTTGCTTGACTCTTGAAGGAGGATGAATGTCATTTAGATTTAGGTGTGTGAAGTTCACAATATAGAAACTGAATTCATTATGTTCAAAAGAAACTCAGCAATTGCTCAACAGACAAATATGGTAATTTAAAAAAGCAGACAACCCTTAGGACTTGTCTACACATGATGATGATTATGGATCCTGGTATAGCATGAATTCAAAGCACATTACCAATTCTACTGTGTACCAGTACTTCTCATGTAGACACTCCTATTGTGAAATAAGTATGCCTTGTACTCCTTTCATCTCCTTCCAAAAGAGATCAAGCTAATTTTTATTTCTGAATAGTCTTCTGGAATAACCTCATGTGTAGACAGGCCACAATCAAGATACTTATGTCTGTGTTTGGAGGCACAGCACAGTTTCTGGAAATGAAAGATTAGTGGCAGCTTAGGCTCAAGACTCAGGAGAAGGAAACAAACTTTCCCTCAAGTACTGGAAGTTTAGGCAGCTGCAACTCTCATTTCGTGCCTTGGGTCATTATTGCGAGGGCCCAGCTTGGATGCTTCAGAGCCGCGCACTGTCAGGTCAGCCAAGGTGAATTCCCAGCTCTTCTATGGCCAGTGACAAACCCCTAAGTCCAGATTTTATCTCTCTGTCTTGAGAGTTTATGAGCATGGAGCAGCAGTAAGTACTGCACTGCATGCAAGGGAGAAAAAAGCCTCGCTAGCTTTATATCTTAAATAAGCAATTGTGTTTACTAAAATATAATCTCATTTCCAAGCACATAGATTTGATTCTATAGAATTGTGCATCGTATCAGTGACAAACATTTGAACATTCTCTTTGAATGCTGCCTCTTACTGTTTTTTTCAATAACAATGAAATGTTTCATTGTTTCTATTAAAGCTTCCGCTTTCATTTAGAGATTTACTGTCCAACTGTAAAATGACTGATTGACTGATTACAAAGCATGATGAATTATTTGTCTCCTTTTCAGCCTAGAGAAAATGAGTGCAGGGTCTGTACTAAGGGGGTTGATGCTTTTCATTTCATGCAACACGGAGAGTATTCCAGCAATCAGTTATATGGTCTATTTTTATTAGCAGCACACGAAAGCAGAGCTTATCAGGCTGTGTAAATGAAATTCAATAATGAAGTTCTCAAGCAAGCAGAATCTGGCACGCCTGTGTTCTCCCCTTTTTGCACCAACACGCATGAAGTATTGCAGGAACTGCTCTCTGTATAAACACAGCTCTCTTTTATCATACATAATTCAGGATTTCCAATTCCCTGATGGAGTAGATTATCTAACTCCACACACTGAGGTGCAGCACACAAACCCTGCATCAGTACTGTACTGCTGCAATACCCAACTGCATAGTATTATTGATACAACTCTGTCTCCTGCAACATCTGCACTCTGTCAGCTTTATCTGGATCTTTTTAAATGTCCATAGCATCTTCCTTCCCAAGATCTTAATATACCATACATGCATACATTCTTAGAGTCCACAGAGCAACACTGTGGAAAACACTTTCAAAAATCATCCATGGATGTGCAGGGATTCTTGTAACATGACTGTTCCTCAGCTGTAGGAACCGTTCTTGAAACTGTTAAGAAGTCTGTGGGGACACTTCTCGGAAGCGGATTCCACAAGGAGAAATTTCTGTAATAAATTTCCATTTCTTGAAAAGTATCCTCAAACCTGACATTGCAGAGCCTGGGCAGGGTCTGTCCCTGTGCAATCACTGTCCTTGCAACAGGATTGCATGCTGTGTAAATCAGTGTGGAATTGAGTCCAAGGACTTGAGCTGCCACAAACATCTTAAAAGATTACACCCATGTAATAATGCTCAATCCCTTGGCAATCCCTAAAGAAGGAGGAGGGGGGAAATCAGATTTCTCGGCCAGCTCAATCCTGGCTGTCCTGAAGGCCAGCCCTGACTCAGGGATCCAGGATATGGCAGGTCCATCCTTGACCTGCCACAGACAGACAGACCTGCACCAAGCAGGTTGAATGTGCTAGCAGGTGCTGACATGGAAGGAGAGCAGTCTCCAGAGGCAGAAGATGGTTTCTGGATCTCTCCAGGCGATTGCCCTTGCAGAGAAACAGAAATGCTCCACGTGTGGCCTAGGGCTTGCCTGACCCCACGGAGCCAGGTGCGTATTCTAGCACAGAGGGAAGGGGCGTCCAGCCCCCTCTCTGCACCCTTCTCCTGGGGAAAGGCTGCATGTGGGGCAGCACATTGCACTGTAGGCCGAGCGGCCGTGTCCTGCAGTCACCAGGAAGGGAGGAGGCAAGGGCAGCACAGCACAGTGTAGGCCGAGTGGCCGTGTCCTGCAGCCACCGGGCTGGGAAGAGGCAAGGGACTCCATGTCTGTGCTCCCAGCACATCCCTGGCAGTTTGTACGCTCAGCTCCCACACAGGGAACACGGCACCCGGCCTGGCTAGAGCTGCCACCCTGCACGGCCTCACCCAGGAGGGCGATGGCTGGGACTTGACCGCTGCTCTCTGTCCTCTGCCCTCACTGACCGTGAAAATGCCACTCTCCGCAGGGCTGGGTGAGACTCGCGGCTAATCTGCAGTTAGCACTGTTACATCCCTTGGGAATCTGGCCTACCAATGTGTAAATCAGCATGTCCCCAGCTTAACAGATGGGCTGGAGCAGCCAGGGGGCAAGATGCTGAGCTCAAAGGCTGAGCTGAAAGTTGGGTGGGATTATGGAGATGACTGCTCTTTTTGAGGCAGGGCTTCTTATTCAAGAGATGTAATATGACCACCCAGCTCAGGGCTAAATTGGCTTCAGACAAAAGCACTGAGATCGCTTTAGGTGATCCGAACTGGGATCAGCGTTGGAGAGAGATTGTGCTGGGAGGGCAAGAGGGAGAGATAGAGTAAAATTATAGTGAACACAGAAGGGAGAACGAAGAACAGGAATCCTGTTATACTTGATCTTGTAGCCCAAGAGATCATAGTACCTAATGAAATGGAAAGACAAACGGCAGAGGATAGAGGTGCACTGACTGCTATAGTGCAGAGGGGTGGCAGTGAGCAACACCAATGTTAAAGCAACGTTTTTACGGGAATTAAATGTAAACTGTACTAGTGTGGTAATTGGCATTTAACTCCAAGGGCCACATCTCTGTAGCAGTAAAACTCCTGTGCCATCAAATTACTGGGTGGCTGGTTTAAACCTCCCCAGGAGCAGCCTATCCCTTTATTTTCTGCTGTTTGACCTGCAAGGCCAGATCCCGGCCCTGTCAGGACTAGCAGTCCAGGACAGGAACTCTTGCATTTTATTTCTTTGAGCACTTGTGCTATACTAACCACGCAGGAGCCACCGGGATTGTCTTCTGAAACTCCCTTTGAACTAGTTGCAACTTTGACACCAGAACCCTATTTGCCTCCTGAACTCATCAACTACTCAGAGCTGAGGAGCTCAAAACCTGCATCTGTGGCGTTGGGTTTTGTTTGTGTCTCCAAGAATGGCAGCCATTCTCCTTGCTTGTCGTAGGACAGCAGCCTTCTCCCCCACTATGCTTTCTGTTCACCCTTCTTGCCAGGTTCTTCTTAGGAAAAGGCTGTACTCAAGACAGGGAGGCAATGGGAAAGGGCTTGTGTGATCCAAGTCGCATACGACTCCTCTTGCAGGTGGGTCCAGGCCTTGTGCGCCAAGCCGGTAGCTGCCTCGCAACCCAACTGGGACTGGACCAGCTGTGACGCTGACTGGAGACCCTGACAAGAGCAGTGAGCCTGGGCTACCTCCCATCCCAGTGACTTGCCCAATGCCCCTTGCTCCTCCCCACCAGCAACTCCTGCCCTTCCAGACTACAGCGCGTGTCACACCAGCCGCAGTGTGGTCCAGTGTACCACACACCACTGCTGCGCTTGCATGATGCGCATGGATGTGGCGTGCAGGCAGCAGCACCACACTGCGCTTCACAGGAGCAGGACCTCTCGTGTCCGGCCACGCTCTTGTGCCCATCGCAAAGCGGGCCAGGGCAAAGCAGCGAGCTCTGCGCGGGACGGGCGCCAGCCGCCGGCCTGACCGCCGGGCCCGGCTGCTCGGGCGCCGCCAGCCCCGCTCAGGGGGCACAACGCGAGGGGCAGGAGCCCGGGGCGGGGAAGCGCAGGCCGCGCTCCCGCCGGCCACAGCCGGGCCCGGCCGCCACCCCGCGCCACCCGCCGGCGCCCGCCCGCCCTCGCTGCCTCCCTCGCTGTCCCCGCCGCGGCGCCGCGGCCCGGGAAGGCGGAGCGGGCGGCAGGAAGGGAGGAGAGCGCGGCCGCCGAGGGCGGGCAGAGGCTCCTTCCCGCAGCCAGCTCTCGGGGCGGCCCCGCTGCCGGGGCTGCGGCGTCGGGACCCGCGAGTGGCGGCGCCTGCCCCGAGAGCCCACCCCGCGGAGCGGCCGCCCGAGCCGCTGCCTCCCTCCCTCCCGCTCGGCTCGCGGCGAGGCAGCGCTAACAATGGCGGGGCGCAGCGGCCGCGCCCCCGCCCGCCCCTAGAGGCAGCTCCCCCGCCGCCCCACCCCGACCGCCGCCGCCGCCGCCGCTGCTGCTGCTGCTGCTGCTCCCGCTGCCGGCGGCGGTGCCGCGGGGCGATGGTGCCCGCGCCGGGCTTAGCCTGATCGCCGCCTCGCCGCCGCCTCCGCAGCCGGCGGGCTCCCCCGGGGCCAGCCCCGCGCCGCCGCCCGCCCTCCGCCCGCGCGGGCTCGCCCGGCACAACTTGAGCGCCTTCCCAGCGGGAGGGCGAAGGAGCGCGCAGAGGAGGAGAGGGGCGCTCGGCGGCAGCAGCGGGCGGATAATGTCAACGCCGAGCAGATTCAAGAAGGACAAAGAGATCATCGCCGAGTATGAAAGTCAAGTGAAAGGTGAG